AACAGGGCTTCCCGTCCGCTCAGCCGTACTTAAGCCACACGCCGGCCGGTTAGTAGTTGGGTGGGTGACCACCAGCGAATCCCGGCTGTTGTATGTTTTTCTTTTTTTTTCTTTTTTTCTTTGCTGCGAGCTCGTGTAGCGAGTGATTTTGTATTTGAATCAGCCTCCATGGCCGAACCCCGACTACCACATTTAAGTACGTCTTAAGAGTGGCACAGCGAAGCCGCAAAATCCGCGCCAAACCGCGCCGAATGCAACTCTAGGCATTGTCAAGTAGACTTTGGATGCGATTGCATTCGGTGGAATCATCTCTATCATTGGCTTCCTTTCCCAGGCTCCACAGAATGAGATGCTGCATGTCGCGATTCTTGCTTTTGGAAAGGGTGCGGTCGTTTGCGGTATCATGATCAGTTCAAAGCAACAGTTACAGGAAGCTGTTACCTTCATTGGTGCTCGCAACCTAGATATCCCGGTGGAGAGAGCCTTCGAATTCTCTTGTGATCAGGTTGTGGAGGCGCTTAGCTACATGGCCAGTGGCCAGCATATCGACAAGATCTGTATTGTATTTTGATTTTGAAATAAATATACCGAGTTAGTATTGTCGTATCTTAGATAGCTCCAATATGTAGCGGCATCAGAATCGAGTACGTTCTGCACATATCCTTTACTATGATCAAATGAGATCGATCATTGGCCGAATCGCCTATACTTTCCCATACAATGCACGAACGATGTGATTTACAAGTTCGCCCGCAAGACTTGACAAAAGTGATCAAGATTTAAGCGACATATCTTTTTATGTTACAATTACAATGATAATCCCATACTGCTCTCCATCAATGGCTCAATTGGATGAGGTCAATTTCTTTCGCGGCTGGCCTTCTCCAGACCTCTTACCAGCTAAGCATTTGAAAGCTGCAGTTGATGCGCTGTCCAATGCAGCCATTTCAGCCGAAGGATTTGGCTACGGACTCGATGAAGACTACCAGCCGCTGAGAGGACACATTGCTAGGTGGCTTACTGACGCTTATGTTCCGGCACAGCCTATCCAGTCCAGTCGTATGTGCATCACCGGCGGTGCTAGTCAGAATTAAGCATGCATCCTACAGGTACTCACGGACCCGATCCACACAAAACATGTATGGCTTGTCAATCTGACGTATCATCTGGAATATGATAGTGAAAGTAATTGCTTCTTTGAATAGGCTCAGCTATTTGTAAACGAGCGGAATATTTGCTTAAACTGGAAAATACTAACAAATTCATCCACAACGCGAATGGTCAAGTCAAATCTCAACAACACAACAATAAAATTTCCAACAATCGAAAGCAAATTGACATATTACTTTATCTGACAATCAACAACCTCAAAGCCACTGACCAACAATATGAAATCTTAGATCTTGCCGGAGACCAACATTGCATTCTTCCGCACCTTGAATCTTCATCTCTCCCTATGCTGAAAGCTCACGGCTCGAAAGATTTAGCGAAATCGCTAGAATTGCAGACTGCACCTGAGAGGACAAAGCGGCATTTGAAAATCACTTGTCGCATCCCTAGTATGATTCCACATTCTTGGCCTCCATAGGTAATATGGTCCTGCGCTTGAGGCCTCCACCAATCAACGAGTTCAGAGCATCACTGGGAATTGGTTCATTGTCGCGCTTGAGGCCTCCGCCAATCAACGAGTTCAGAGCATCACTGGGAATTGG